CTGGAGTATAACACATGGTCCTACTGATCACCACCACTATGGGATCATCTGATTGTGATGCTGAGGGTGGAACTCTGGGTGAGTGGCAATGGGGTCCCCTTGTACGGGCAGAAGAGAAAGAGAATTGGTACCAAACAGAAAAGAAGTAGCAGAAAGAGGAGTTCAGGGGCTCTAGTGGGAAAAGTGGAAAAGGAAGACATGCTGAGCCTGTGGAGAGCCTTTACAAATGTAAGGATATATTATTGGCTGTGGCTTTGAAAAGTCCTATCAATGAATTTATTTGGTGCGTACTGTCCCTTCTATCCCACTGTCTCCTCCACTCCTCCTGCTATCGACATCATCCTATATTTGAAGTTTTTTTTTAATTTTAAAAAATGTTTACTTTATTATTTTTTGAGAGAGAGAAAGAGAGTGGGGGAGGGCAGAGAGAGAGACACACACAGAATCTGAAGCGGGCTCCAGGCTCTGAGCTGATAGCACACAGCCTGACACAGGGCTCAAACTCATGAACTGTGAGATCATGACCTGAGCCGAAGTCAGATGTTTAATCGACTGAGCCACCCAGGTGACCCTATCTGAAGTCTTTAGGGCACTCATGAATATACCCAGCACTTTCCCAAGACTCATGATGGAAAATCCACTTTTTCCATTTAAGTAACTAACCATTCATTCTCTATAAAATAGACAAATATACGATACATAAACGTACAGTATCACAACAGGGGAGCCCTAGGAGAGAGGAAAGGTACATTTATATCCGTGGGCCACTCAACAGGATGCATGAATCTTAGAGGACCCTTGGAAAACTGAAAGGAAGCTAAGTTGCTCCTTGTTTTTCTCTGGATAGAGCTTTCCAACTCTGACTCCTCAAATCTCTGATTGAATTCCCAGCAATCTACTTTTCCTGACTGTAACCAGAAAAGCATGTTTAAATGAACATGAAATTCCATCAGTATAAAGCCTTGTGAAGCCCAGTCCACCAGCCCCATTGCCAAAGCCGCTAATAATGCCCTATTGTGTTACTGTGGTAGTCTAGGTTATCATTATGAAGTCTTGCTCCTGGTTGGGAAAACACGACGTTCCATTAAATGTATACTCTGGGTTTTCTCCAGGCCAGAGATACATCCTGCTAAAAGGTGGAATGGGCTGAGTTTTAATGTCATGGAAAAGAAGAGAACCATTCACCGGTGAAAAAGGAGTTGAGGGAGAAGAACGGTGAATTCAGTGTCCTGGGATTCCTTACTTCCAGCCTACAGACAGTGTCTAGCCAGCCAACGTATCTTAGATGCCCCAGGAAAAAGTGAGTCAGCATTCTTTTCCCTCCCGCTCTGCTGTGGTTGGGTGCTGGACAGCACTGTCTGAGAAGGTTCTTTCTAGGACAGAAGACCATGCCTTAGGGACCACCAGGGGCCTCTTTGCAATCACTGCCTTTGGACTCATCCACCACCTGTGTTCAACGACCGTATAAATTGGCCTGGATCAGGAGTGCAAGCTGGAGGTGTGCACACCATCAGCGCTAGCAAAGTTTTCATTCATTCTCTTCAAGCCACTGGACAACTAAAAGAACTCAGAGGAGTCCACCTAAATATAAAGGTAGGTGCCTGCATAGGAGCCCCCATCATTTCTCTCCTGGAGCAGTTTTGGGTCCCCAATATACTGCAGAGCATCCTATGATGCATTTAGAAAATTTCTCCAGGTTTAAATACAAAAGAAGCAGCAGCCTCTATAATCATCATATGCTTGGAGCTCAGCACACTGGTTAGAGACCCTCCTCACACTTGAAATAATTTTTTTTAAGTCAAAGCCACTTGTTTTTGTTGAGTATAAAAGTAACATACGCTCACTGTAGAAAAATTTGAAAGTTCAGAAAAACACACAAAAAAAAGAATTTAAAAATGTTATCCTCCAGACAGGAATACTATTACATATTAGGTAAATCAAGAAATACACATGTGTGGGTTTGCCTTTTTTTTTTTTTTTTTACAAAGATAGATTCCTAATGTACTTAATATTGGTGATGGTATTTTCACCTAAGAGTACATCATGAGCATTAGATAATTCTCTTAAAATATCTTATAAGCATACACAGTATGCATATTCGATGCTTTGCTATATCATGCCTTACTTAATAAATCTACTGGTGTTAGACATTTAGGTAATTTTGAGCTTTATTATTATAAACAGCACTACCATGAACATACATGTAGATCACTTGCTTGAGACTATCTTGGATTTTTCCTTTAGAACATAGAATTGTTACATGGAAAAGTAGAACTCCATTTTTTAAAAAAGCATTTGATACATGTTGCCAAACTACCTTCTTGCCTGCACTATCCAATACAGTAGCGACGTGCTACTTAAACTTAGATTGATTAAAAATAAATAAAATAAGACGTTCACATCCTTGTTCACACTAGCCACATTTCAAGTGCCCCATAGCTATATATGGCTACTAGGCACCATACTGGCCAGAGCAGGTATAGAACATCACAGAAAGTTCCACTGGACACCTCCAGTCTAGAAAGACCATGCAAATCTGTATTTTCCTTAGTAAGATATGACAGTGCCTACCTCCCACAAGTTGGCCAATATTGAATACTGTAATTTAAAAAAAATCTGTACTAACTTAATCAAAATTACATTTTGTTTGATTTTTTTCACTTCTTTGATTACTGGTGAAGTTGACATTTTTTGTTTGTTTACTGATTTTTATATATTTTTTTGTGAATTATTACATTTTCTCCCGGGATCATCTTTTTAAAACTGCTTTTTATATATTAAGGTCAATCTTTAAGCAATAATTTATTTTGTGAAAGTTTTGGTAGCTTCTTATTATCTTTTATTTCTGACATATGTTCACTTATAGAAATGGAAAATTTGAACATATTTTAATATTTTCGTAGTTTTCATTGTTGTTTCTATCCTCCTGTTGTAAAAGCTCTAAACCTCAGATTACAGTAATATTCATTTAAATTTTTTTCCGATTGTTTCATCCTTTCATTGCAAACATTTAAATTTTCAGTCCTTCTGGAATTTACTTTGGTTTGTGGTATAAAACAAAATGTCACCTTTTTTTCCCTTCATGTTACCAACCATTTGTCCAACAATCATTTTTTAAAATAACAAATTAATTCCCCACTGACTTGAACTTCCACTAAATGCTCACCTGTTCTTGGATTTCCTTCTAGATTTTCTGTCGTATATACCTATTCTTTGGCCTTTACCATCCTGTTTGTAATCATTTGCTTTACAGTACATTTTAATATTTGGAGGTATAAGTACTTCTTCATTATCTTTTTCTAAAATTGTTTTACTTCTTTTCAGTAGTTTTTTTGTTCTCTAAGATAAACTCAGAGTCATTTTGTTAAATTCCTCTCACTGCCAAAATAAATTCTTTCAGAACTTTGGTTTAAATGATTAATTCAATTCAAATTAATCGGGAGAACTGATTCTCTCCAATGTGAAGTCAATCCATTCAGGGGCGTGGTGGTTCTATCCATCTTTTCAAGTCTTCCTGTGTGTCCTTCTGAACTGGCTTTTTTTTTTTTTTTTTTTTTTGGGGGGGGGGGGGGGGGGGGGGGGGGGGGGGAAGCCCCATGATGGGCACCTCTGACTGTTTTTAGACACAGTCTCTGAATTTGTGAGCTGTTGCCCCCAGCCACTAGAAGTAACAAAAGAAATTCCATTTCTTAGTACTGGAGTATATTTTCAGTATCCACCTTCTCATAAATCTCTAAGAAAGAGATCTCACTTTCCATCCAAAGAATCTGGAGTTCAAAACAGCCCTTACGGAAAAATCAAACTCCAGGGGCAACTGCAAAGCACATTTGGTGTCTAGCTGGCCAGCTTATTTTGTGGGACTCTTTTTCCAACTCCTAAATACTTTCCAGTCTGTGAAATTCATCTCCTCACCACTGTTAACAGCAAGCGCCTCTCCTGGCACCAGAGAGCTCACATAGTTTTAATGAGCATGGATCTTCTCTGAGGGGCTTTTTATTGTTGAGGCTGGATTTTAGTAGATAGCATTAAGCTTCCTGGAATGACTGTGGGCTTGGCAAATCTAAGGGCATTTGGGAAGTATTTAATTGGACAGAGTTCAGCTCCCCCTTGAGCACACACAGACCTGAAGCCTACCCACTATCCTTTTTGTTAAGGAAACCAGGGATCCTGCACCTCCCAGGGAGCCCACCAGTGAAATTACCAAGAATTTGAACCGGTCTGCATCGGAGGTCCCAAGCCCAAGACAGGCGGACGGGACTTTACCCACAAGGGACTTTTGGCACTGTCTGGCGACAATTTTGGTTGTCACCAATGAGGGACCTGGGGGAAAGGGGGCAGAAGAGAGGGAACATGGAGCCGGGAAGTACTGGGTTACTGGGAGAGGCCAAGGGTGCTGCTAAACATCCTACAACGCACGTGATGGTCCCACAACAAAAGATTCCCCAGCCTAAAACCCAAGAGTGTCTAGGTGGAGAAACCCGCCTTATATTTTCACTAATTGCCTAGTCAGCGTGCACCGTGTTATTAGGAACAAAGGCAATGCATTATGCAGGACAGAATGTGGGTTTCGTTGTTGTTGTTTGTTTTCAAAGACATGACTGACTTTCAAAAGCCCACTCCAGTCTTTCCTGGAAGTTCTGCCTCTCCAAAGCACGCCCTTCTCACCAGGTTTCAAAAGCAAATGGAAAGGATTCACAGAAACGATAGTAGGTCGACAGCATCCTCACACTCCCTCGCACGCTCCTCGTTCACAGAAAGCTAGGCGGAAAGTAGGTTTCCCCCCTCGAACTCCAAGCAACGCCCCTGCCGGCTCCGGCGGCAGCGAAGGATGAGGAGGCGCGCTCCCGGACCGAGGCGCAGCTCGGGGCCTCGGCCACCCCCCGCGGTCCCTCTGGGTCCCTGGAGACGCGTACCTGTCCCAAAGCCTCGCTGCCAACAAGCGCAGCCCGGCAGCGGGCATCATCAGCTGAACCCAGGGTGCAACAACTCATGGCACTTACTTGTCCAAAATGAAGTACAGGTCAAATCCCCCGTAGCAGGCTGGACCCCCTTCCTCCCTGCGTCCCCCTTGCCCGGCGCAGATGAGCACAAAAGTGGCCAAGGAGAGACACTTGAAGCCAATGCCGAGGGCTCTCTGCTTCACGGTGGCCATGACCTGCAGCCCAGGGAGACGGTACGGTCCTCGGCTTCCCACGCGCCTCGAACTCGTCGGGACCCTCAGGGACGCGCCATCCGAGGGGCCCTGCTCGCGGGCCCTTTATTCCCCCTCGCGCTCCTGGAACTCCCCGGAAGCAATTGTCTGGAGGAGTTCAAGGTTTTCCTTCTGGTTTCCGCTTCGATTCTGTTTCTAGGTTTCAGGTTTCAAGAATCCCAATACTGTACTCGGCGTTTTTAAAGGGGCTGCTCCTGACTCGGCGGCGGACCGCTCCGGAGGCTGCGCTGACGTTTCGCAATGGAAGCAGCTCCGTCGGGACGCTTCTTTGTCCTGGCTTTTAAATATTATGGGGTGGGTTTTCAAATTGTTCTTGGTTGGGAGAGTGCCTTGCCTTTTCTCCCTCCTCTTGCCCCCTTCTCCCCTCCCTTTCTCCTTTTTTGGGGGGCGGAAAGAACGTTCAAAGGGTGCCGCCTTGTGGCCGAAGACGGAGAAAGCGCTCTTCGGCCTTCGCCTGAGTGGCTGTGCGTGTTTTCTCATTCCTTACGCACCTTCCCTTTCTTTCTCCGTTATTTCCTACCCATTCCTACTTCTTGCTCACTCTCTAGCCTTTATCCATGTCCTCTCCTTTCCTATCCTGCATCTGTTGATAAGGTCACTGTAAACATTTGATGAGAAATTACTCACTCCGAGCACCTTGGCTCCAACCCCGGGGCCGGGACCTTTGCAAAGGAGCCATTGTGCAAATGAAGTAGAGAAGAACGGGGCCTTTGTGATCTAATTCATCCCAGTGACCTTACTGCACTATTAGTGCAGATCATAAAAGAGACTGCTGGGGTCCAGTCATGTGACTGGGAATAGCATAAACGGTTCCAAAGAAAAGGCTGCTCCCGGCCTGGAACAGCGGGCACTCTAGATTGTCTCCATCTCTAGATTTTAGAGACTCTGAGAAGTTCTTCTTTCCAGCCTGTGAACTTTGACTTTTTTCACCCTATCTTCGATTTGGAACAGAGGGAGTAAACAGCTCACAAGGGTACAGACCTTCCAAATAGTTCGGGACTGGCAAGGAAGTCTTGTGCTAGCCTTTCTGAAGTGAGGCATCCTCTTTAGAGAGGATCCAGGCAGGAACTCAGTTTTAGCTTCATAGATCTTCCACCTGGGGAGTCCTCAGTGCACACTTATGCTCCATTTTCCAGCATTATTTCTCCACACACTCATCTTCCCCCTCCATTTGTGATCCTCTAAGATGCTTACCATCCATGGTGGTTTCCCCCAACCAGGTGTGCCATGGAATCCTCGTGTCTTGGAATGCTTCGTTAAACAATATTTTTGTTGTCAGATAAGTTTTGGGGATTCAGAAAGCATAAAGCATTGCCCTGCCTCCAAAACGATCCTCAATGTCCTTCCTTTCCTGATATTCAAACACACCCTCCCCTCCCCGCACTGACTTTTATGTAGTTGATAAGGTATTGCAGAAATGATGTGTGACTTCTGAGGCTACATCATAAAAGATATTGTGGTTTCCTTCTAGCTCTCTTGAATGAGGAGCCCACTGCCATGTCAAAAGTTCACTCAAACAGCTGTATGGGGGCGTCCATGTGGCAAGAAGCTGGGATGCCCTGCTGATAGCCAGCAACAGGTTGCCAGCCATGTGAGGACCTCGTCTTGAAAGTGGACCCTCCAGCGCTAGTCAGGCTGACAGATGACAGCAGCCCCGGTCAGCATCTGGACTGAAGTCCTATGACAGACCCCAAGCCACAAGCACCCAGCTAAGCCAATCCCCGATTCCTGACCCACAGAAATTATGAGATAATTATTGTTTGTTTGTATTTTAAGCCTCTAATTTGGGGGGTAATTTGTTATGCAATAGTAGATAACTAGAAAATACCTATACACTGAAGTTTTGATAATTTTTTTAAAGAAGTTTAACTGTATTTCCCAGACTTACTCAGCCCTGAAACTGTTCTTTCCAAATAACACCTATTGACACCTACACTTTGGGGATCACTGCTCTCAGGAAAAAATAATTGGGAGAAGATTAAAATACTCTAAATTGCATGACTCTTGCTTTTCCATATCTTTAAAGTAGAATAAAGATATCCAGAGTCACTAACAGGGGTAAATGAAGCTCTTGGTATACTAGCAATATGATGGCTCAACAAGTCTGCAGCTGGAGACATTATTGGTTTCTTTGCACTGGCAACATTTTCCTTCGGTTGTTGGGGTATTGCAGCCTTATAATTAGAGCATGTAGGGAAATGTTGGGGGGGAGAGTCTTCATTGGCTTCCTGCTAGCATTTCCCAGATTAACGTCACAGCTAAGAGACATCCAAGTATCAAATGCCCTAATGCAAATGTTATTTGCTGGAGCGATCTCTCAATGCTATGATTCGACTGAGGGGTCTGGGTTCTTAATCCCTTCCAAGGACTCCCGTGTTCTGGAGGAGATTGATTGACTTTCCCAAGGTCCACAGAGATAGATACATGAAGTTTGGAAGCAACCCCTCTGCCCTTCAAAGTCAAGTCAGTGGAAGAACTGTATAAACTGTGATGTTGAGGCTATGGAGAAAAGTTTCTGGAGTTAGAGAAGTGCAAGGGCAAACTAACCATGTACGTGGAAGTGTTTGAATGGTAACCTGGAAACCAAGGCAAAGGAAAGTTTCTCAGAGGAAGAAGCAGTCAAGAGAGTCACATGTTGTAGAAGTCAAAGGCATAAACCCTGAGAAAACCTCAGTGATCTGAAGTATATCATCATGTCACCAAGGAGATTCCAATGAAGTAGTGCTTGTGGATGTTGGACTGCACTGGGTTATTAGGAAAGGAAACTTCTCTTTCAAGTATAGAGTGGGATAAGTGGTAACTTGTGAATGTTTGAATGTTTCAATGCCATAAAGAAAGATCCCAGGATACTTAAGGATACCAGGAATTTCAAGCTCCCTGCCTTCCAAAAGAGTGGAGAGTTTGCTTTACAAGACTGGTCGTCTTAAGGGTTTAGTCCTGCACTACTGTTGTAATTGAATTTTCCAGATTCCCTTATTTGAAGTAGAAATTAATTAATAATGACCTGCCTGTTTACAGGCCCCCCAGCGACTTGCTGTCCCATACTTGCCCCCCACCTCCAATATATGACTGAGCCCCATTTGTCAAGCTGTCAAAAACAAATTTTGCTGTCTTAATAACATTGCCATTTAACCTTCAAGAGTCTCAGGGGACACTTACCCATTTGTCTGTGTTCTTGACAAAAGCTCTGGAAAATGCTCCAGGTAACACACACTACCCAAGAAATCTTGGGAATTTTTTTCCTTAGAAATATTTGTCCACAATAAGAATAGAATATGGACAGATCTGACAGCCTCTACAAAATTTGGAGTCAACCAAGTAGGACGAATGTTTGCCAAGCTCTTGCTGGTCTCATTGGTCCTTGGGGCTTGGTGGCACCCCAAAACTTCCTAAAGCAAAACATCAGTTAGTAAAAATAGTCTCTTTTCATTGCCATGAGATTTCCTTTATGCTCATCCTCCATAGGACTTCTATTTACAGAAATCCAAGGCTTTTTGCAAACCTGTAGACCATTGCAGTCTATCCTAAGTCACATCCAAACCCAGGATGAAGTTTAATCACCAACCTGCTCTTAGCCCAATCTAGCTAGAGTTGAGCCAAAGCTCAAAGCTTAACACACCAAGCACAACACAGAAGATACATTCTTACATCTCAACCAAGAGAATAATCCATAACTCGTGCCAACATCTCCTAAAAATCCATCCCAGATCCTCATAAAGACTCAAAACCTTACTGAATAAAATGTTCATTTCATTTAGATCAGAGGCCAGGCCAATCCAACCTAGAACCCAGAGGAGGGATAAAATGGACCAGTACAGTCTAGGGTCTTGACGAGCCCAGAGCTTACAAATGTCCAATGGAAGATGGAGTTGTATCAGACAAGTCAAGGCTCGCAAAAAGCCAAACCTAAGACCAATTTAAGTCCTTTTTCACCTAGTTCTGCTCAACGCTGGCATATTTAAGCATATTCAAGACCAGAGTCTTACTCAGAGACCACAGACCAGTTTACTGTGGAAGATGTGAGAAGAAATCTACCTAGGCCTGCCATGCCCATAACTCCTTTGACACTTTTGCTAGTGTGTCCACAGCCCAAGCCAGAGAATCTAGTGGTTCTCACTGTGCGTGAACACGTGTATGGATAAGAATATTTGGAAGGAGTACTGTGAAAATGGGGGCAAAGAAATTTACTCAGTTATAACCAATGGAGCTTTTTCCTTTTTTTATTTAAACAATTTTTTTTAATATTTTTTATTTCTGAGAAAGAGAGACAGCGTGAGCAAGGGAGGGTCAGAGAGAGAGGGAGACACAGACTGAAACAGGCTCCAGGCTCTGAGCTAGCTGTCAGCACAGAGCCCGACACAGGGCTCGAACCCATGAACCGCGAGATCATGACCTGAGCCAAAGTTGGACACCTAACCGACTGAGCCACCCAGGCGCCCTTCACTGGAGCTTTTTCAAGATAAATGTATCTGTACAATGTCAGAAATAGATAGAAGGGTTTCAGAGACACGCACAGTCTTACAGTGACTAATTGCCTTTCCCTCTGGCCTCACCACACAACTCTGATTAGATTTATTGTAGAATTAATGGTAAATCCCATAAATTGTTTAAGTACTGGTCAGGAAAACATACTAATTAACATTGTAATTGCACACCAGCCTATTTAGGGCAAATTACTAACCAGGTGACATTACTAATAAGTTACATGACTTGTCCATAACATAGCTTCCCAGTTGCAAAATGGGGTTAAAAATGTTACCTACCTCATTAGGTTGTGTGTGGTTTCAATGAGATAATGCATGTCATGTGTGGCCCTCAGGAAACACACAATAAATGTTGGCTTTCATTGTTATTGTGAGATTCTGGGAAATAATGTGTGAATTTCTTCTAGAGATGAGAAGAATAATTTAGAAGAACCACTTTCAGGATGTTCGATTTTTCTACCACCAGTGAAACAAAGCTGTTTCTGTACCATGGACATTCATATTGCCAACTCTGAGAAATGTAAAGGTGAAGATTAGGGCTCATCCAAGAACTACTGGGAATTGAAGATTTCCTAGGATACATGCAGAAAACAAATAGAAAACATACTTTGGAGCTATCAAAAATCTATTGGCAGCAATGCTGTTTCTGCTAGCCAAGAATGCTACATAGCTAAACTCTAAAGAAATGTCTGAGAAAATGGTTATCGTCAGTGG